GGGGCTGCGCGGGGAGGTGCAAATCGCAGCGGCAGCCGCCGCCCATAGCCCGGCTGCGGAGCCCGGCGGAGCCCGCCCAGCCCGGCCGCTCAAAGGCTGCTTCATCACTCGGGCGGCAGTGAATACATCAGGCCGCCGGCACCACCCGCACCACCTCATCAACGGCCCGCTCATGACTATTTCACCAGAAGTGCGGAGGGGGGGGGGCACCTCATGGCGGAGCGGGGGTGCGTCTGCTCCCGCCACCGTAAGGCAAGGCACGGCGGGTGGAGAGTTGAGACGGTTATCTGCACCCTTTTGACGGACGAAGTGTGGCGAGGGCGAGGGCGAGGGTGGAAGGGGTAGGGGGCACAGCCAGCACAGCGCGCGAGGGGGCAGCAGCAGCAGAAATCCCAGCGGCTCCACAGCTCCTCCGCGCGCCGCCACACTGACCGGGATGAATAATCAATGACGGGATCCTGGCCGTGCCCGTGCGTCCCGGCGGGGCCCAGGGGTGGGCGCGGCAGGCTGGAGGGAGGATAGCGAGCCGCCACACGTTTGCACAGCCTGACCGACAACCCTTTACCCTCCCTGCTCCTGCTCCTCCTCCTCCTCCCTTCTCCGTCCTCGGCCTCTTCTACATCTAGCGCCGCCGCCTCTTTCACAGGGGCTTGCCTCAGCTGCTGCTAGCCGCACCTGATCCTGATGTCTTGCGCGAACCCACCCCAACCACATCACCACCACACTCATGCACTCTCTTTTTAAATGTTTCCGTTTCGCGCGCCGCTCGCGGCCACTATCGTCGTGCACAGTGATCCCCTTTGTCTCGCGAAGCAGGGTGACGACGACGCGGCCCCAGTGACCTACTTCGGCTTTGACTGAATGGGCTGTTTGTTCACGTACCCTTCAATGGGGGAAGGCGTGCCCCCTACCTCCACACCCCGCCCCGCCCCAGCCTCGGGGAGAGAGAGAAGGGGCGCGCCGCCGCAGGCACGTTATTCGCAGCCGTAATTTTTGGCGCGCCGTTAGATATCTTTTGTGTGACACTGTGAAAGGGTCGGAGATATGGGGGAGGAGGGG